TGCCGCTGCTTCGCTGCCGACTTTGGGAGCAAATTTGCTTGAAGCTTAAACCAAAGGCAAAGGTGCCACCTTGCTTGTGCAGCAGCGGAGAACGTGGCCAGGCGGGCAGAGTGCAGGTGGGGGGTGGGCTCAGAGGCTCTCGCACCAGTGACAAGTTTTGTGTCGAGGGAGGTTTTGTGCTGGTGTGCTTGGCCGCACCTCCCAGCGGCAGTAGGGCTTTGTTTGCTCATTAATTTGCTTGAAGCTTAAACCAAAGGCAAAGGTGCCACCTTGCTTGTGCAGCAGCGGAGAACGTGGCCAGGCGGGCAGAGTGCAGGTGGGGGGTGGGCTCAGAGGCTCTCGCACCAGTGACAAGTTTTGTGTCGAGGGAGGTTTTGTGCTGGTGTGCTTGGCCGCACCTCCCAGCGGCAGTAGGGCTTTGTTTGCTCATTTTCTGTCAAACTACAAAAGTTTGATTCTTTGTTCAAATGAAAGAGCTCAAAAGCTGATCAGAAGCCTGGCTCACGTGTGAGATGACACGTTGCTGGCTGGTGTGGCACAGCTGATAATGAAACGTACTGACCTTAACTGGATGAGTCAGGATGCCACTCCTGAAAGTTTTGTGGGAGTGCTGAAATAGCATCACTCCAAATCCGTGTTCTGAGCGGGACACCAACCTTTTGAATACTTTTCCCATTTCTGATATCTTATCTAGTATGACGCCTCCATTGCTATTGAGAACGTGTGTTAAATCAAAGAAAGCAAAAATGAGGTGGGAATGAAGTGATAGGACAAGGGGTGATGGCTTTAAACTGAAAGAGGGGAGATTTCTATGGAAGAAATTTTTCATGGTGAGGGTGGTAAAACCCTGGAACAGGTTGCCCAGAGAAGTTGTGGCTGGGCCCCCCCCCCGAGTGATTCTGGGTGGATGAGGCTTTGAGCATCCCGGTGTAGTGGAGGGTGTCCCTGCCCATGGCAGGGGGGTTGGAACTGGATGATCTTTGAGGTCCCTTCCAACCCAAACCGTTCCATGTTGATTCTGTGAACTCACTGGAAAATGTCCAACTTTGGGATTTAAAGATCACTGCTGAACTATATCACAAATGCCCATCTCTTCCCTTTAAACTAGGTTTACCTCTGCTTGTGCAAAGAACAATCGCGAGGACTATTGTCCTGCAGGAAATTGTGGGAAAAGGCCGATTTGGTGAAGTCTGGCGAGGAAAATGGTGCGGGGAAGATGTAGCTGTGAAAATCTTCTCCTCCAGAGACGAACGGTCCTGGTTTCGGGAGGCAGAAATCTATCAGACGGTTATGCTGAGACACGAGAACATCCTGGGCTTCATTGCTGCCGATAACAAGGGTATGCTGCGAGTCGTGCGCCAAACCCCCGTGTTTGTCTCGGAATGGCTTTGGCTGCCCCGCTCCCATCTGAAGCACTGCTTGGAACCTCGCAGCTGCCCGAGCTCCTTCCCAGCAGGGTGGCCAGCAAACTTGGTCGTTTGCATGCCTGAGCTGGCCACAAAACGGGGAAGGCTTTTGCTGGCCAGTGTTTTTTAATAAAGCTGAATAATCCTGCTTCCTCCGAGTAGATAACGGGACGTGGACTCAGCTCTGGCTTGTCTCCGAGTACCACGAGCAGGGGTCCCTGTTCGACTACCTGAACAGAGGCACGGTGACGGTGGAGGGCATGGTCAAGCTGGCGCTGTCGGTGGCCAGCGGCCTGGCACACCTCCACATGGAGATCGTCGGCACGCAAGGCGAGTGCTTCCCTTCTGCTGGTCCTTCCAGGATTCTAAGGAGCTTCAGTGTTGTTTGCAGACACATTTATGGGTTACATGGCACGGTGAAGCATGTTACAAACTGTTAGACTCCAAAAACCAGTATTGATGTAAGTGGCACAGTATAACAAAATAGGGATGTAATCTTCCCCCTTTCACTGTCTGTGCCTCCTTCCATATCTCTAAGTGGATGCCCACGGGAGCAGCTGTGCCAAAGGGGAGAGCTAGCGAAGGATTTGCTAAATTAATTTGGAGGGTGAACTTACAGTTTCTCTTTTTTGTGTTTTATTCTTGAAATACAGATATTGGAACAAAAATGCCCTCAAGGTCTTTCTTTAATTTGATGGCATTTAGCAGAGCTTTCTTTAGTACAAAACAGGCTTTAGTGTTTTTTTGTGGGGTGTAGTAACAAAGTTGAGTAAAACTGTTTTTGCTTCCTTCCTCATTATATTAAAATTCATACTGTTGTTATCAAAACTGATGGCGCTTTCTCTCCCTGCGAACAGGCAAGCCAGCGATCGCGCACCGAGATCTGAAGTCTAAAAACATCCTCGTGAAGAGGAACGAAAGCTGCGCCATCGCGGACCTGGGCCTGGCGGTGAAGCACGACTCGGTGCTGAACACCATCGACATTCCCCAGAACCCCAGGGTGGGCACCAGGAGGTGGGTGAGGGGGGGCTGGTGGCCGCCAGCCTGGCTCGCCCCGCGGGGACGGCTGCTCTCAGCCCTGTCCCCCATCGGTGGCTGTTCTCTGCCGATCGCTGGCAGCAGACCCAGACCCTCCATCCCCGTGGGCAGTGCCGAAGGCGGTTGCCAGCCCTGCCCGGGACTGCTTGCGGCAGCGCAGCGGCAGTCTTTTGTATGAACTCCCTGGAGCAACCTGACCACCGTGTCCTTCACAGGTACATGGCTCCTGAGATACTTGATGATGTGATGAACATGAGCGTCTTCGAGTCCTTCAAGCGTGCAGACATATACTCCCTTGGGCTGGTGTACTGGGAGATAGCCCGACGGTGCCCTGTTGGAGGTGAGCTTTTGCAATCCAGATCAGCTTTATTTTAAATAAAACAAAAGCAATTGAAGGGTCTACGTCCCTGCCCCTGCGCTCTCCATTATCTTGGCAGTATATGGTGGTAGAAGTCTGTTGTGGAGCAGTTGTTCAAGGCGGCCTCAGATATTCCGATATTCCTCTGTTCTCTCTCATTGCCTGTAAAAACAGTTAGAGTTGATTCTGGAGCAACTACTTTGGATTTTGCGTTACCTACACACTAAATCTTTCCTAGGAATCACCGAGGAATACCAGTTGCCTTACTATGACGTTGTGCCTTCCGATCCTTCGATAGAAGATATGAGAAGGGTGGTTTGTGAGCAGAAGCTCAGACCAAATATTCCGAACCAGTGGCAAAGCTGTGAGGTAAAAGCAGTTTTCCAGTTTATTACAAAGTGTATTTAAATTAAGACGGAATTTTTCAGCGGGACAAAGGGAACTCGATGTCCAGCCTCTCCTAAATTTAAATGTATTTCAGTTGTCTGCCTCTTCTTCAGCTCCCGGATCAATGCAGAGAAAACTGCCTCTGCGCCAAACGCTGAGCTCCCTGCAATATGGGTCTTAACTTACGGTCGTGCTGTCGCGGTACCGTTTGAGAGCGCTGTGCGTCGTCTTCCAGTGTTGCACTGGAAAGCCGGCAGCCGGAGGCGGCGGTGTTATCCTGACCTGTGCTTTTCCCTGGCGGTTGGCAGGCGCTGCGGGTGATGGGCCGGATGATGCGCGAGTGCTGGCACGCCAGCGGGGCCGCCCGCCTGACCGCGCTGCGCGTCAAGAAGACCATTTCGCAGCTCTGCGCGCAGGAGGACTCCAAAGCCTGACGGAGCTCCCCGCAGCGGGAGGGGAGAGGGGAAGGAATTCTTCTGTTCACCTTTTAACGTGTGATGTTGTTTTTGTTTTCGGTCTACCTCACGTAACGTGGTTCAGTATTTCAGTGCCCGAACCAGAGCGCTGACATCCAGCTTCATGTTTGGCCACTGGAAGGGGCAGCTTTTGACTCATAATTTGTTTTTTTGTTTGGTTTTTTTTTTTTTTTTACAGCAAGTCAATGACTTGCTTTGGTTTTCTGAAGTAAATTAGACACCAGGCTAGTTGCAGAAAGGAGCTTCAAACACCGTGGCAGTGTTACGGTGCCTTTCGCTGTTGCACTTTTATTCCAGTCAACCCCCAGACACACCGGCAGTAGCTGGTGTTGGTTACAGCCTGTTTGCAAGAGAAACCACATGTTTTATCCTCAAGACCAAATTCTATCCAGCTTTTTACATATTTTTACACTGGAATCTGAAAAGGGGCTGTCAGTAAAATTGTTTTTAACTGCTATATTTATCATTACCTAAGCAAATAAAAACAGATGAAAACTCCACTAAGCATGCATGTTGGGAACAAAAGATCAGTCAGTTTTTTGTTAACTTTTATTTTTATTGTCTTGATTTCATATACAATATTATAGTTAGGATTTTGAGTTATTTTACTGTGTTCATTTGTTCAGTGAACGTATGGATCAAGGGACAATTTTTAACAGTCAGTAGAAGAAATAACAGAGGCAATACTTTTCTGATAGACAAGTAGGGATGGAATGGGAGAAATTCTACCTATACTGAGAAAGTATATGTATTTTTAAACAATGTCTTGCCAATCTGTGACCGGTAACATTTTTTTAGTGCCTTTTGATGTTTTAGGGGGAAGCTTTAACAAAACTCATTCTTGGAAAACAGTTGAAACCTGGCGGAAAGGTTTGTTTCTCGTTGCAGTGTCGCGCTGCGCAGCCCACCTCAGTGTGTCGGGGTTCTGGGGACGCCCACGCGACCGGGAACCACCGCCGTGGCGTTCGGGAGCGGCAGAGAGCAGTGCCCATGGAGTCAGGAGATTAACGTGCTTTCTACCACCCTCGTTTCGGGCACTTAAAGTTGATGCTTCACATGTACCTGCGCTCTGGACTGGGTCACTCTGCTGTTTGTCATGGCCCAGGGACCTGTTAAAATGTAAATTTAAAGTGCTGGTGGCCTTGTGCGGAGCCGATACAGCCTGTTCAGAGGTTTCATATGGATTTCTCTAATAGCACCAGGATGGTGAAAAGTATTAACATCTCTAATCATGTTTCCATAATACTGCATGCTGTGAAAAGCAGAGTGTTTCTTCAGAATTCACTGATGGTCTGGCATTTTGTGAATTCTGCCCCGCTCCGTGGTCCACGCATTTTAATATAGTATCCTGATATTTTTAATAGGCAAAATGATACATTTCATAATATTATGGTTCTTTAAGTGTTTCTAAATGCGGGTGGTCCATGGAAATTAAGCCCAGAGATGTCTCCAGACTAACAAAGCTTTGCAAAAATTCGATTTGGCACGTGCAGCTCAGTGGAAGTAAACTGTTAGCTAATTGCGGTGTTTAAAATCAATCTTTGACGTGAAACCTCTTGAACTGGGGCTCTTGCATGGAAGAATGGGTTAAACTTGTACTGCGTGGGATGGTCAGTAGTACCAGTGCTCCAGGTTTCATTCTGAGGAGCAGCTCTAGGACATTATGGACTCTCTGTGGACGTTAATTGCCCCGTAAATAGGCTCTAATGCAATTTATCTGTTTGCATAACTTCTCGTCACTCCTGCTTGTGTTAAATAATGCAAGTCTCTGCATGGTCTGTTAGCTGAATGATGAAGAATCTTTCTCCTAGATTGCTGTTAGATTTTTCTCCAGTATGCTTTCTGAGCTATAACCAAGGTCATCTTATAGATTTAATTCTTATGTGCTTCAACTGCATAAACTGCACCAGGGAGCTCCACAGATGTGTACTTTCTAAGCTGTTTGAGGGGTAATTGTTGCAGCTGTATGATCCAAAGAGCCATGCTGACTTGAGTATCCAAAGATTTGCAAACATAAGATCCAGCATTTATTCTTGTAGAATGTTAAAAAGGAACAATCAAGGATTTTTTTTTTTTTAAGTGGGAAAAGGAAATGTTTTATCTGTTGCAATCAACTCTTATTGCAGTTGCAGAATAAGGTGTCTGAAATGAAGAGTAGTGGAGTAAAAGCAATTTGAAATAGTCTGCTGATTTAGGGCAGTTACTTCAGAAGTATTTAAACTGTGCAGGTGAGATCAACTTTTCGGAATTGCTTTAGCACTCGGGAAGGTGCCCAGAAGGAACACGTGCCCAGAAGGTGCACGTCACGGAACACAAATAGTTGTTTAAAGTGACGCTGAAATAACTGCAGGAAATAACTTTAAACCAAAAAATACTGTGGTTTCGAAAGGAGAATGCGCCCCAGGAGTGTCCGCCCCTACGCTGAGCGCGGGGACGGTCGCTGCCGCCGTGGCAGGGCGGAGGGTGGCTGAGCAGGCTGGTGGCTGCTGGGGGGCAGCGAGGGAGGAGCGGTGCCCGCCGAGCGGCGTGACGGAGCCGTCGCACAAAGCCCGTGATGTTCGCAGCAGTCCGGATGCGGTGAGGTTCGTTGGCGAAAACGTGATCGGTTGCCGTGCAAAACGCAGGGTGACACCGTTAGCTTCTCTTACACCACTTTAAAAACGCGTTTTTTGTTTTTTTTTCCCTAAAATAGAGGCGTTTTTTACAGGGAGAGTGGTCAGGATGCTCACTAGGATTTTTTTTTCTTCCATTTTAAATTCAGTCCTATGCACTTTTAATCTATATTATCCTCTGAAAGTATCTATGCCCTTGAAGTCTATCTGATAACTGTTCCTGGGGCTTCTTTCCCTGTGAATCGGATTGCACGCTGGAGGAGTTTGGTGTCTGTGCAGAAGCTCCTCTGGGTCAGGAGCCATGCCAGACTAAAGTCATGCTGTGATATTAAAAAATGTGCTTTTTGGTGCAGGGCACTTTGGTGACCCACTCTGGGGGCAGAGCTGGGAGATGGTTAGAGGAGGGTTTGGTGGGTACCACAGCAGTGAATTGGTCGTCAGGGATGGTGCTGCCGGCTGTGGGCCGCGCTGCCGGTGGCTGCTCGGGCAGTTCTTGCAGCCCACCATGCTCCGGGGCTGCGGTGTGGTGCGTCTGTCTTATGTCTGCAGAGACAAACGTGTTTGTTGGCACCACGGGGTGATGGGGCCGGGCAGGGTGTGCAGCGGGAGCCGAGCGGTGCAAGCCCGTGGCTCCTCCGCATCGCTCTGCAGCCCAGCCTGCTCCCCTGGCTTTCTCTGGTTTAATCTTGCGTGGGATGCCGGTGTGACCACCATCAGTAACTTCTTTTGGTTGTAAATGCCACTTACTGTCTCCTGTCCCTGTGGTCGGTCCGATGTGGCAGTGCGTTTTGAGGCGGCGTTTTTTCCGCCTCCCTCCTGGAGCCTCTGAAAGCTGTCGAACAGCACTGGGATTGGAACCAGACCCGTGTGGCACCAGGCTGGGGTGGGGGGATGCTCCGTGTGCGGACGCTGGTCTGACCCGGCCGCACCTCTCGGGTCACAGCTCCCACCCCGGGAATGCTTTGAGTCTTTTCCTGCGCGTATCTCATGGCGTGAGACGTGACAGCCCGTCTGCCCGAGCTTTTCACTTACCTATTTTTGCACTGGTTTTCTTTTTTTCTGTTATTGTTGGGAGGCGAATGTATGTTTTAGCAAACTAGAGTTAAACACAACTGAGCCAAGGAGCTGGTGATGTTGCACTGGGCTTTTAGATGTTTGTAAACTCTCCGCTCCTTCTAGAAAAAAAGCAAACAAACAAACCCCCCTTGTTTTAGTGACCTTTTCCCTCAAAACAGATTGATCCTGTTCAAATTTAAGAACAGAGGTTATACTGGGACACTTCTTTGCAGTTTTAGGGAGGCTTAGGTTTCTTAAGAGGTTACTAATGTTCCTGCTAATCTTCACTTAAAGCACAAATTCTTAAGCTCGTAGAAATTTTCGAGCTCAAGGATGCACAAGACCGGTCACCACGTTTAGCCTCTCCTAATTGATGCTTCTAGTTTGGGGGAGTTACTAATTTTTTTTTTAAATTCATTTCTAATAACAACCTAAAGCTTACTGCATGGAATATGAACTGAAAGGGAAAGTTAATTAACATTTTTTCTAGCACCTAATATTTTTTTTGTTGTTGCCTGAACTGCCCCTCCCAAATACCCCACGAGAAATTCAAACTGTAATCTCTGTTGCACTTGGCTATTTTTACAGTAATTTGCACTTAACCAATATCATTCCCTCATGTAATGCTATGACGAATCCTATAATATTTTAGTCATTGTTATGTCACTCTTTTTTGGGAATACATTCAGGAATTATAACTAAATCTGTTTAGGAACACGTCTAGTCCCTACAACTGGTCTTAACATTGAACAGAGCGCCATCTTCTCGCAGTCCTTGCCTGCCTGGATCTCCTGTGACCACTGACGGGCTCAAGGACGTCCCCAGCACATCCTTGCTAACGGCAAGGAAGATTTTGTGTTTCCCATTGCTGTTCAGAACGGTATCGTGCGCACTGCCTCGCCACTGCGTGGAACCGTTTAGCACTGGGACTTCTGTCTGCGGCCGGCAGTGCTTGCGCAGGGCTCCCGGCACGTGCCAGGTTCGTTTGTGGGGACGGGTGGGAAGACGCTCCGTCGCATTGATTGTGGTCTACAGGTACAGACGCACAAGTTTTTGTGTAGTGGTGCGTGTTGGTAAAGGTTATGGCTCAAAAATCCCTGCTGTGACGGTGTATCGGTGTTGTAAAGCCGTCGTTGGCCCGTGTGCGGAGCCCCGTGCCGCTGCGCGTGGGCGCTGCCAGCAGCGGCTCCGGGGGCTCATCTCCTGCGAGCCAGACCTCTTGTACCCGGGCAGGGCGAGCTGCGTGCCTGCCATCCCCAGCGGCGGGCAGGGATCATCCCTCCGTGCTGC